GCCCAACCTAGCAGTTCGAAAGCACGTCAAAGTGCAAGTAGATAAATAGGTACCACTCCGGCGGGAAGGTCAACGGCGTTTCCGTGCGCTGCTCTGGTTCGCCAGAAGCGGCTTAGTCATGCTGGTCACATGACCCGGAAGCTGTACACCGGCTCCCTCGGCCAATAAAGCGAGATGAGCGCCGCAACCCCAGAGTTGGTCATGACTGGACCTAATGGTCAGGGGTCCCTTTACCTTTGCTTTAAGCTTGTGGTCCACCAAGACCCCTAGATCCTTTTCATATGTCCTGCTAGTAAGCCAGCTGCCCCCCATCTTATATTTGTGCTGCTGAGTCAGGGTTCTCACTGGATTATTAATCATTAAGGTGCAACTCTGTGTGTTTGTGTATCGGGAAGAGCAGCAGAGTTCTACGGGGGCCTTGTCACCAGGTGGTGGGATGACAGGCCTCTCCCCGCCCTGAGTCCCCAGGGATGCGTTTGGCTCGTCTGGCCTTGTCTGGCCTCCTGGATGGGGAGACACTTCCAGGCCAATCAATGCGGGCCTTGATTGATCGCCGCAAGAATGGCTGCAGGGAGACAGAGCAATTATACGTACACACTCACAGGCGGGGAACTCACGGTGGCCTGGGTGACCTTATCCAACATCCTTTCTGGCTGCCGGATCTCATCCCACCTTCTCAGGTGCTTTGTTCCACCTAAGAACATCCTTCCATACCCCCAAGTACTGTTCTTGGGGGACAGGGGGTGGGCTGGTGTGGAGGACTCCCTGGTCCCAAATGGGTTAACTGTGCCCTTGAAGGACCAGGTGCACAGCCTGGGAGTCATTCTGGACTCATAGTTGTCTATGGAGGTGCAGGTCAATTCTGTATCCAGGGCAGCTGTCTACCAGCTCCATCTGGTACGCAGGCTGAGACCCTACCTGCCCACATACTGTCTCGCCAGAGTGGTGCATGCTCTAGTTATCTCCTGCTTGGACTACTGCAATGCGCTCTACGTGGGGCTACCTTTGAAGGTTACCCGGAAACTACAACTATTCCAGAATGCGGCAGCTAGACTGGTGACTGGGAGCGGCCGCTGAGACCACATAACACTGGTCTTGAAAGACCTACATTGGCTCCCAGTACGTTTCTGAGCACAATTCAAAGTGTTGGTGCTGACCTTTAAAGCCCTAAACGGCCTTGGTCCAGTATATCTGAAGGAGCGTCTCCACCCCATCGTTCTGCCCAGACGCTGCGGTCCAGCTCCGAGGACCTTCTGGCAGTTCCCTCATTGCGAGAAGCAAAGTTACAGGGAACCAGGCAGAGGGCCTTCCTGGTAGTGGCTGCTGCCCTGTGGAACGCCCTCCCACCAGATGTCAAAGAGAAGAACAAGTACCAGACTTTTAGAAGACATCTGAAGGCAGCCCTGTTCAGGGAAGTTTTTAATGTGTGATATTTTAATGTATTTTTAATCTTTGTTGGAAGCAGCCCAGAGTGGCTGGGGAAACCCAGCCAGATGGGCGGGGTACAAATAATGAATTATTATTATTATTATTATTATTATTATTATTATTATTATTACTACCCTCCAATGCCATCCTGACAGATGTCAAGGAAATAAATAACTATCTGGCTTTTAGAAGACAGGAGTTTTTAATGTTTGGTGTTTTGCTGTGCTCAACATGTTTAATTTAAATATACCTTCCTGAAGAAACCAGAGGCCTTTCTCCTGGGCATCGTGGGCCAATTGGTGCCAAAGAAGGATAGAACTTTCTTTATGTATGCCACGACAGCAGCAAGAATACTTATCGCAAAGTATTGGAAGACACAAGATCTACCCACCCTGGAAGAATGGCAGATGAAGGTGATGGACTATATGGAACTGGCAGAAATGACCGGCAGAATCCGAGACCAGGGAAAAGAGTCGGTGGAAGAAGATTGGAAGAAATTTAAAGACTATCTACAGAAAGATTGTAAAATTAATGAATGTTAGAATGATGTTGGATAAGAAGTTAAGTGGTTTTTAGCTATAACGATATAAGGAATATGAAAAAAATGGATTATTAACAGGTAAAAATTTAAGGTTACAATATTTTAAGATTAAAGACTAGGATAAATAAAGAGGGAAAGGATTTGCTGAAATAGTAAATTGAATTGGAATACAAAAAAGGGAGGTGTGAGGAGGTCCGGGAAATAAGCAAATGAAAGATAAGTGATGGAAAGAAGGAATTGTTTTTAACTATTTTTATTTTGTATTTTTCTTTTTTCATTTTGTAAAACTCTAATAAATATCTTTAAAAAAACACACAACGTTTAATTTGTTGGAAGCCGCCCTGAGAGGCTGGGGCACCCCAGTCAGGTGGGACGAATATACATATAAACATAATAACCATCCATGCTGGACTACGTTCTTAAGGCCACCTTCGGCAAATGAGACCCAAGGCAGGCCTCCCAAACAACGCTCTTAATCTCAGGGCTGTGGGTTTGAGCCCCACGTTGTGCAAAAAGAGGGTTGGACTAGATGACCCCCGAGGTCCCTTCCAACGCTATGCTTCTTTGATTCTAGGTAGGCACAAAAAATGTGCATGCTTGTTCTACGCTAAAAAAAACATTAAACCTGTGTTTGAAAACATCTGTGGTTGCGGTCTCATTTGTTCTTGCAGGAGTTTTAGAGGCATACAGGGCTGTCTGTGGTCTGCCCGTATTGCAGCGTGTGCCAGGTAATGTGTGAACAGGGGACAAGCCGTGGCCCAGTGCTGGAGCGTCAACCGGATGTGTGCAGAAGGTCCTTGGTTCAGTCTCTGGCTTCCCCAGCAAAGACTTGCAGCCTGAAACATCAGAGGGCTTTGCTTTCTTGCTGAGGCTCAGTGGCACAGCCCCTGCTTCATCTGGTGCTGGGTTCAAGTCTTCCCATCCCCAGGTGAGACTGGGGAGCTATTATCTATTAAATAAAGCAAGAAACAAAAATAGAGAGAGACGGCTTGCACTTTGGTTACACTTTCTTCCAGGAAATCACCAGCGACTATGGGATCATTATTTCCCGTTTCAGATGGGTGTGTGTCTCTCTCTGTGTCCAAAGGTCTTTTTACCAGATTCTCCAGTCTCAGCGCTTTCTGCTGAATCACCCAAGCAAGGAAACAACCAGTTGACCCTTAACAACAGGGTGAGGGGAGTCAAGAACAGAGCTAGTTTTTCTGGCCCTCCATTTCTGGAGTGATTTTCCTTTGGGTGCGCGGGTTTAATTTTTTAGAATTATAGAATGGGCACACTTTTCAGCCTGACACCCTAGAGACCCCGCAGCCGGCCACAGCAGGCAGTCCTGAGCTCCAGCAACATTTTTTAATGGGATCTTTAGATAAAGGGCAGTATATAAATTGTATTGGAAAGAAGGTATTGGGCTTTAGTAGAAATGTTATTAAGAATTAAGTAAGAATAGATTGACTATGGTTAAAGTGTAAAATTTAAGGCTAAATTGTGTTAAGAAAAAGTTTGGATTTAAATTGAAGAAAAAGGGAAAGGACTTGCTGAAATAATTAATTGAACTGGAATGCAAAGAGGGAGGGTTGAGGAAGTCAAGGAAATAAGCAAATGTAAAATAAGGATATGAAAATATGGGTTTTTTCTTTTTTAAATGTTTGTGTTTTTAAAATGCCTTTGCTTTTTGCTGTTTTTGCTTTTCTTTTTCTATATTTTTTCTTTCTTTTTTATTGTAATTTTTTATTGTTTGTATTTTGTTTCTTTGTATCTGTTAAATTTTAATAAATATTTTTTTTAAAAAAAGTATATAAATTGTATTAATGCAGCAGCGCAGTCACTCCAACTCTGTCGAAGGCAGCTCCTCCAGGCTCTGCCCATCCGTCCTGGCAGGGCTGTTGTTGTGAGGCTGGGAACCGGGAGAGCCAAAAGCCCCCGGCGCGCCCTGCTTGCTCGGTGGCGACGCGGCCCTCTGCGCGCGCTCAGAGACCCTCTGGCGCGCCTCGGGGCTGGGCAGGAAGCGGCGGGCGAGAGGGAGGCGGCCTCGGCAGGCGGGCCGGCCGGCGGAAGGGGAGGGCCGGCGAGGGAGGAGCAAGCCAGCAGCCAGGCACGGAGCGAGCGAGCGCCGCCGCGCCAGCCGCTCCAAGTCCTTCCTCGCCGGGGCCTGAACTTTGCGCGCCGCCGCGATGCGCTAAGGCATTTTTGCGCACGGCGGGCGCCCCCTTGGCAGCCTCCCCGACCACAGATCGGCGCCCCCCGGCTCTTCGCAGGAGACCAGCCCCCCACCTGGAGCCCCCGAGAAGCCCCCGCACCGCTTCGCGACGCGCCCGCCCGCCATGGCCGCCGGGGAGCCCCGGAGCGCCCCCAACCCTCTCCGGAGCGCGCCAGGCAGGGCCCCCCAACCCTCTCCGCACGGGCGACCCTCCTGAAATCCCGCCCCGGAAAAAAAAACTTGCCTGGCTTTTTTCTTTTCCCCCCTTTTCCTCTTTCCTCCCCTCCCCTGTTCTGGGGGAGTTTCTTTCCAGGACCCCCTTTTTAACAAAACCTTTCCAAAACTTGGATACCCCCAACCCCTCTCCAACACATTCCCCCCTCGATCTGCAAAACAACTTTGGGGAGGGTGTCTTTTTTCAGGGTCCCAGTTCTCCCTCTCCTAAGACTCTCCCCAAACGCCCTCCCCTTCTTGCCCCCCCGATTTTAAGGAAGATTATTTACCAGCCCGAAGTGACCTGGATTTAACTTTTTTATCTTTTTACGCTTTCCACCTTGAGCCCCCTAACGCGGGCGCCAGGCTGGGGACCGCTGGCTCCCCCCTCCCACGAAATTGCCCCCCCTGAAATTCCGCTTTGGGGGGGGAAGCCAAGGCTTAATAACAACAATAATCATAATACTGTTGGGGATCTATTAAGGAGACATTTTTGTGCCTGACTTCGCCGCCGCCTGGAAGGAGAGAGCGCCCCCAACCCGCGGCTGGCGGCCGGAGCCGTGTTTGGCCCCCAGCCCGACCCCTCCGGCCCCCCACCACGGACACCCCCGCCGCACCCCTCTCCCCCCCTCCGGGGCGCTATGGCCATGGTGACCGGGGAATGGGGCGACCCTAACGGAGGCGAGGCCAACGGCTTGGAGAAGGGCTACCCCCGGCACTCGGAGGACGACTCGGCCTCCCCCCAGGGGGGCACCAGCGACCAGGAGCCCCTCGACGACGACAAGCCGGGCATCCAGGTCGACTGCGTGGTGTGCGGGGACAAATCCAGCGGGAAGCACTACGGGGTCTTCACCTGCGAGGGCTGCAAGAGTTTCTTCAAGCGCAGCATCCGCAGGAACCTCAGCTACACTTGCAGGTGGGCCTGGGATTTTAATTAAAATAAAATAAAATTTGGGGGTGGGGTGGGTGGGGAAAGGGGGCGCACCTGGGCATCACCTCCATTCATCCATTTCTTTTAACATCACGTTTCTCTCTGAATCCCCCCTAAACCCCCATTTCTGTCCGGCCTGGCCTTTCCGGAGAAGTCAAGAAGTTGGGGTGCTTTTCCACGCATGAGACTGGGAGAAGGGGTGCTGCTGCACCCATGGGTGGGAGAGGGTGGTCTGCCTGTTTGTGAGATGGGGCGGGGTGCTCTGTCCGTTAGAGGGGGTGCTGTGCCCATGGGTGAGAAGGGGTGCCCTTTCTGCTTGTGAAAAGGGGGTGCTCTCTCCATGGGTGTGGAGGGGTGCTGTGCCTTCCCGTTTATGAGAAGGGCATCCTCTGTCCATTTGCGGGAGAGGGTGCTGTGTCTGTGAGAAGGGGCGCTGCCTGACCCCCTGTTCCGCCTCTGGGGAGTCGGGGCCTTCTCTACTCTCTGGCCTTCCAGCCTTGGAGTCGCCTCAAAATCCAGGCCGCCTTCGGGGTCTGTTCCTCTGCCTGCTCCTCCTCGGATTGGGCCTTCTTGCTTTGAGACGGAGTCAGGGACATCTTTCGATTCCCATTGTTGGCGTCGCTGGAGCTGGGTGCCAGGAAACGTGCCCCCCATCTCCTGTTCCCAGTGCAGGGCTAGGCACCCCCCTCACTGCCAACACCCCCCCCAAATTATTTCGGATTTCCTTTCCCAAATCCGCCTCTGTATCCTATTTCATTTCCTTCGCTTGTATCCACCCTCTTCCTTCAAGCAGCCTGAGGCGGTGGGCACGATTCTCTCCCTCCCTATGCAATCCTCACAACAACCCTACGAGGTTGTAAGATGGGCGCGTGGTGGAATTTGAACCTTGGTTTCCAAGGCCCTCGCCTAGCCCCACACTCAAGGCTCTGGTGAACCTGTGTAGTCAGTCTGGTGAAAATCGGCCTTCCGTTCCTGAGAACGCAGCTTGGCTCGCTGACTCGAGATGTCTGGAGTTGTTAGTGCGACTTGCCGTCTGGTTTTGCGGTGCCCTGAGATGTTTTGCTGTTGCAGGCGAGCTGGCCAGGGGGTGCCCCGCTCAAGTGCCACCCCTGTCTCCTTGCCACCCTAAATACATCATTGCTTCTGGCGGCTGTGGCTTTCGCTGGAGCATATAAACGGCTTAAGCCGGTGTGTGGTTCAGAGTTGAGGCTCTGTCATACTTTGGGTCTCCCCTTTTGAGAGGAGAGGTGGCGAAAAGAACATTTTAACAATGCACGGCACTTGTGTGTATGCAGGAGACCAAATACGGTTCCTTCTGATGTTATGTGGCAATCATATCATAGAATCGTACAGTTGGGACCCCGGGGTCATCTAGTCCAACCCCCTGCGGTCATTCCTGTGCTTGATGTTTCTGCAGGCGGATTGGGTTTTATGCAGCAGTCTTGCATTTTAAGGGTCATAGAATCGCAGAATTTTAGAGTTGGAAGGGACCCTGAGGGTTATATAGTATTGCGCCTGTTCATTCTTACTTTTTAAAATTTATTTTCCAGTGTTCGAAACTCAAATATATAAGCAAGGGGCCAAATGACTCCTTCAACCAAGGTTGCCATTGCCAAAACACAATGCCTAGTTGTGCTTTTGGGGAAAGACGGCTCTAAAGTCTTATTTTCCAAATGATGGACTGACTGTGATGGATTCTCAGTTCAACATCTGGCTAGTTCAGAGGACAACCTTGGGCCTGGTTAAGAGCTTTGAGAATTTAAAAGAAGGAAAGTCACTTGATCCAGGGACAGTCTGCACATCTATCGGCCTATTCCGACCTCTCTTTCTTAATGGTGACACAGACCGTTTGTAACGTAGGGATATTATTCACAACCGTGGGGGAAGAAAAGACAAGCGACAACAATTCACTAGAACGCTGTTCACTGCTGCTGCTCAGGCTGCACAGAAAAAGCGTTCTGGTTCCTGAAATTCATTCCGATTGTGCAGATAAAATATAACTGATGGAATTTTACAGGATGGAGCCTTAGTGTGTGTAAACGGTCCAGATCCAAGGATCCCCAGATGGAGGAGAGGTCGGGCGCCATCCTGGCTCCCAGGCATCTCCACTTGGTTAAAAGTGGCCGAAAGCCAGGTGCAAATTGCGCCTGGCTAATTTCAAACACTGTCTGGGGTGTGTCGAATTCCTTGCTTTACCTGAAGAGAGAAAGAGAGATCTTGTGTGTGGGTGTGTAGAAATCAGCAACTTTTTAAAATATATATTTTATTAGTTTTTTTATTGTATCATTTCGAACAATCATATAACATAACTTCTTATCTCATACAATGTTTTAGACTTCCGCCAACACCTCTGATGATTTTCCGTTCTTTATCACTTATCCTGCATTTCTTAATTTCTCTGTTACACTTAATTATCTTAACTCATAATTTTCCTCATGGTCTTCCTTGCAATATTTCCAAAAGTCCTCCTTGCAATCCTACTAGCGTAATCTGTTCATTGCAATTGCTTTTCAAATAGTTCGTATATTTACTCCAGTCTTCTGAGAATCTCTGGTCCCGCAGGTTTCGAATCCTTCCTGTTAGTTTATCCAGTTATCCATAGTCCATAGAAATCAGCAACTTTTTCCTGGCTTGAGTGTTGAGAGCCCCTTCTGCCCACCCCCCCACTTTTTGCCTCTGGCCCTGTTCACCACGACCCCCCCCCCCTTCGGGAGGTTCCCCCACACCTTCCCTCGGTCCCGGGTGTCAGTGAAACCAGCTAGCTGCAGATTCCCTCAGTCCTCCTTAAGAGATTCAGCTTTGAAATGGGCCTGGGAATGAGAGCCGGCAGTGGGGATAGTGGTTAGAGCGTTGGACCAATACTTACATGGGAAACCAGGGTTCAAATCTTGCTGCCCAGCCCATGAAACTCACTGGGTGACTTCGGGACAGTCGCTCCCAAGGACTCCCCTTCCTAGCAGAGATCTGTTAGGGATTCTTTACCTGCCGTTCCTGCATTGCGAGGGGTTGGACTAGATGACCCTTAGGGGTCTCTTCCAACTCTACAATGCTAGGATTCTGCAAGGATGCTAATGGTCTGCCTTGCAGGGCTGCTGTTGCAAAGATTTCAAACAAACCCCTGTGTTGCAAAACGTCAGCAATGTTTAGGCAACACGATGACAGACAATCTTTCTAGAATTCCTTCAGCGTGGTGGGAAAATACAGAATTGTTTCATAAACCCATCTTATTTCAAAGGAATATATGTGAATGAAAAGATGAAATGCTGTGGAGCAGTGCTGACGAAGATCTATGAAACAGCAGTCAATATCCGGAATCTCTGTTCAGTGTTGGACATTATATTTGCTGAGTACACAAAGCTTCACAGCTTATCTTCCATCGTACAAAGTTTGGTACCTTGCTTCATTTAAAGATTTTCAGAGACTTTGAGACTAAGATTTCATTTTGAACTTGTTATTGTTTGAATATTCTATATTCAATAGAATAAAGAATATTCTTTATTCTATAAAGATTGTCTATTATGTATGCATATGGTCATCGTGTTTCCTAAACGCTGACGTTGCAAAGATTTCAGCAGTCCTTGGAGTGCTGAGGAAGTGTTCAGAATCATAAACAGGATTTGTTCTCAGCTCTGCTTTCCAGGAATCCTTGGAATGAGATTTATTGCAAGAACTCTGGGACGGATCCTGAACTGGCGGCGGGGTGTGTGCGTGTGTGTGCCTCGTCATCCCCTTTGTGACATCCGTGAGAGGTAGTCAAGCCGAGGCTTGTGTGAATCGCCCGTGTTGGGGCCTGTGGCGCTGTTGCGATAACCTTGGATTTTTGCTCCGTTCAAAACAAGCGCTCAAGTTACAAGCCCTCAAGGCTGTTGAGAGTTGGCCGCCTCCACCGCACTCAGTGCTCTGCCCTTCCCCATGAGTGGGAAAAAGCAGACGATCCGTTGCCAAATCCTTGCCAAATTTGCTGCAGCCCTCAGGGAAGAGGGGTTGGGTGTGAAATATTGGCTGCCTCCTTTAACACCTGGCCAGTTTTCTCACTGGGAGTCGGGTTTTTAATCCTGCGGCTTGGGGCTTTGGCATCTATGTATAAATCCTCCTTTGGGGGTTGGTGGCGTGAACTTCCTGTGATCTGGAGTCGTGCCTAGCAGGTGATTCGAATCCAGTACCAGAGACTGACAGGTGATTTCCCTTAGTTTGGGGCAGCCCATGTTCCCCCCCAATCTGAAGTTGGACTATATGTCCCTGGAGGTTCCTTCACGTCTATAATTCTGTGATTCGGATCTAACACTTCTCTAGCAGTTGGAAATAGGCTGCCAGACAGTGTTAGAAACTCAGATATATACTGTATTTCTTGCTCTATAAGACGCACCAGACCACAAGATGCACCTAGTTTTTGGAGGAGGAAAACAAGAAAAAATAATTCTGAATCTCAGAAGCCAGAACAGCAAGAGGGATCGCTGCGCAGTGAAAGCAGCGATCCCTCTTGCTGTTCTGGCTTTTGGGATAGCTGTGCAGCCTGCATTCGCTCCATAAGACGCACACACATTTCCCCTTACCTTTTAGGAGGGAAAAAGTGAGTCTTATAGAGTGAAAAATACGGTAATAACCTAGGGGCCAAATGGCTCCTTGAGCCAGGGTTACAGTCGCCAAAACATAATGTCTCGTTGCCCCTTTTGGTCAAGATGGCTCTAAAGTCTTATTTTCCAAATGATGGACTGAGTGTGGTGGATTCTCAGTTAAAACGTCTGGCTAATTCAGAGGACAACCTTGAGCCAGGTTAAGAACCTTGAGAACTTAAAGAAGAAAAGTCCCTTGATCCAGTCCACAAATATTGGCTTATTCCAGCCTCTTTTTATCAACAGTGGCATGGACCATTCCTAACGTAGGAATATTCTTCCCAACTCTGAGCAGGGCAGTGGGGGAACTGAAGACAAGCAACATCCAGTCGCTAGAACGCTCTTCACTGCTCCTTCTCAGGCTGCACAGAA